GTTTTAACAAGATGCCCATGTGATTCTTGTGCACATTAAAGTTTGGGAAGCACCAAATTGCAACACCATCAGCCATACACAGAATAAACAGAGGGGAGAGCAATATTGTCTAAAACAATGATTCTCAAACATGTTCTTTTGGAAATCAGTTTTGAGCTGGAAATCGGTTTTGATTCTGCTACTAAACTTGCTAATGGTGATTCTACCCTCACTCCCCCACCCCCCGCCAATTCATAGGAAAAAAAGGTAACAAATTATATTATCTCATGTTTTAAAAAGAATTTTTCCTTTCTTCTTTGGAGCCCAGTTTCACTTGCCTGTTAGTGATAATTTTAGAAGATGACAACAATCCAATGGTAGTAAAGTACCTATGGACAACTCAGAAGTGTTTAACTGTATTTTTTCTCTTTAATTTGTGGGCTTCTTAATTCTTGGATTTTTTATTGTGATTTTATGTTTCATAATGGAGAGTGGTCATAGTTTTTATCAGTAAACTTGTCTCTAATTCGCACAGCAGAATTAAATGTTAGTGTCTTTGGTGTTCCGCAAAAAAAAATCCCCCCCTGATTCCACCTTCATGAACATGAGGACCAAGGCTACAGAACCTCTCTAGAAATCATCTAATCAGGAGGAACTGATCATAGAAAAGTAAAGTTAAAAAGGGGAATGTATTTTTCACCTGTTCCTCTTCTGCTAATAAGGACTAACATTAATAGATATAAATGTAACCTACTGATTCTTCCTGGAGAGTCAAACCATCAGTGGTCTTTATTTTTCTCCCTGTGCTTTCCTGAATATTAAAAAAATGCTACAGTGAACATTCATTCATTCAACAAATAACTAATGAGCACCTATTAAGGGACAGGTGCTGTTCAGGTGCTGGAGATACAGCAGTGAACGAGCCGGACAAAAACTCTTGTTCTGATGTCAGGATCTTTGGGCTTTTCCTGTTTGTCTGGTCAGATCCCTTGAAGAAGAAACTTCAGGTTTCCTCTCTTAAAGGTAACTCTCTGGTAGCCAGAGATCTAGATACTGAGTGGAGTAAGAGGGCTGAGAATCTTAGCACCTGATATCCGTAAATTCACTTAATCTCCCTGTTTATAGAGACCTTTCTGGAGGAAAAAGACTCTTTTGTGAGGAGAGGGGCCGTTAAGGAAGGGAGAGGTGACCTGGAGATCTAACTGCTCTTAAACAGCTTGCAAAAGCTTTGTTTTTACCCCAGCCCACGGGACAACCTCTGCATGGCAGCCCTGCTGTCTTACACCTCCACAGTAGGCAGTGAGGGTATCCTACAGCCACCAGTTACTGATACTTGAGGAATTCTGCAGTATTAATTAGGCTGGGTCGCAGTTTTTTGTTTAATTTTCATAAGCAGAAGGAAGACACATGGGCTCTCAGCTTTTTCCCCACTTAGGGTTTAGGATTCAGGTTTCTACAGATTAGTTACTTAGTTAATATTTGTCCATTTGCTTTCCAGCTTCTACTTTTTTTGTTGTTTTTGTTTTAGTCCTGGCTCCTCTCATTGTTGTGGGGTTATGATTTTTAAAAATTAAGTTACTGTCACTTCAGCGGCGTTCTAGGAGAGGGCAAAAGTAGAACATCTTCATTAATTGCTTAACTTTCATCACAGATTTCTGGAAACATTCTTCTATGCTGACTTAAATCAAACCCTTATTTCCCCGTCTGTCCTTAGACTTGGACATCTGAATAAAATATGTATTTTTACTTGTAGGTGATTGTGATTTAGAAAGCATTCATTGTCCTTCACATTCTTTAAGATTTTAAGCAACAGAAAGCAACTCATCACTTTCCTCAGCAGATCAAAAATGGGACTGAGACATACTCATATATATTAAAAATTATGTATGGAGGTTAGTTACTGCAGCATTGTTTGTAACACTAAAAGACTGCAAAACACCTGACAATCCATCAGCAGAGGACTTGTTAAATAAGCATCCCAATCCATATGACAGTATATTACACAGTTAAAAAGAATAAGGGTCATGGCCACGTAGCTAAGTTGGGTAGAGTACCGTCCCTAAAAGCCAAAGCTGTGGGTTCAGTATCTGGCCAAGGCACACACAAGAATCAGTCAAAGGATTCTAGAATCATAAATAAGTGGGGCAACAAATCAGTGTCTCTCTTCCTGCTTCCTCTCTCTCTAAAATCAATCAATCAGTCAAATTTTAAAATAGAATGACATAGATCTTTATGTTCTGCTGTGGAAAAGTCTATAAGAGCAGAGTCGAGTCAGCATAGTAGGCTGTAATTTGTGTTTACAAATACATATCTAAGGCCCCGACTGGCTAGCTCATTTGATTAGAGCATCGTCCCGGTACACCAAGGTTGCATGTTCAGTCACAGATCAGGGCACGTACAAGAAGCGACCAATGAATGCATAAGTGGAACCACAAATATCTCTCCCTTTCTCTCCTCTCTCTCTCCAATCAATAAAAATACTATCTATATAGTATCCATATCTGTAACAGTGGTTACCTCCTGGGCAGGAACTAGATAACTGGGAGACAGAAAGTAGAATAAAGACTTAGTTTTCCCTTGTGTACCATTTGCACCATTTTAAAAAATTATTAATTTGAGAAAGAGAGAGAGAGAGAGAGAGAGAGAGAGAGAGAGAAACATTGCTTTGTTGTTCCACTCACTTATGCACTCATCGGCTGTTTCTTGTTATGTGTCCTGACCAGGGGATCGAACCTGCAAGCTTGGTGTATTGGGACAGCTCTCTAACTGACTTAGCTAGCTGGCCAGGGCCTATTGTACCATTTGAGTTTCATATTAAGGTCTTATTTTTAAAAAATAAGTATAAAGTATAATGAAAAATTTGGGATGAGCTCCTTGACCTTTACCTGGCACAATGCCCTCCCTGATTACTTCTGCCTATCCAAATTTTCCTTCATCTTTAAGATAGATATGAATTCCCTATTTGTTTTCTGGGCAAGTCCAGCCCAAGTACTCTCTCATCTAATCTCCTTTGCTATAAATTATTGTGTGTGGCAAGTCACACACTACTTTGTTACAGTGCTTCTTCATTTTTAAAAATAGTATCAACAATCTTGCATTAAACTTTCCATTTTGTATTTTCATTTTTGTTTTACTGAGCCTTTTATGGGTTGCATGGGGGTCTTCCAAAGATGAGAAGTGGCCAGTGACGAATACGTGAGCAAGTAAAAGAGAGTACCTGAGAAGGAACTTGAGGCTCCCTCCTTACTAGGAACCTTCAAACTCAATTGCCAAAGAGAAATTCACATGAACCAGTGAACCCTTTTTATAATATGCTATTGGGTTGTCCAAAAAGTCCATTTAGTTTTTTCCATAAAAATAAAAGACATATTTTTCATTTTTACCAATACCTGTATTGATTTGGATATTTTGAGTATGTTGGTTGTCTCCTGCTCTTGGTTTCTAGTGGGTGGAAGCCAGGGGTGCTGCTAAACATCTTCCAATGAATAAGACAGCCCCACAGCAAAGAAAGAATTATTTGGCCGAAATGTCAATAGTACCAAGGAACGTTACAATCCACTTTTGAAATGTTCAATCTCTCACAGCACCTTCTCCATACACTGCACAAGTCTTTTATTGTGTTTTAGTTGCATTTTGACCTTTTTTGCATAATACGCTGATAATGTTGCGTATTTTCTTCCATCTTCAATATTTAAATGGCTGTACAAAAATTCACCAATTTTGATTTTTTTAATGCACACTGATATGACAGCTGTCACAATACAATCTAACAAAATTGTTGCACATGAAATTAAAGCACTACTAGAGCCATCGTATGGAAAAAAATATAATGGACTTTTTGGCCAACCTAATAAAAAGTAAAGCCATCACATTTTCTATTGAATTAATCCAATTATCATGACATTACTTAGCTAGGAGCACTTGTACTGAAGGAATGAGGTATGGGAGACAGAAGGGAATATTTTGAAGCAAGACTCAAAACTGAACTACTTGAAACCTTTACTTCATAGGTCCCAAGGCAAGGCATGGGGGGAGTTTAGGCTCAAGCTCAAGTCTTCTCTTAAGTTTAGTTGAGGAACTACACTATTCAGCCAGTGGGAGAAGTCTGGCTTGGGTGAAAATATGAGGTCTATTGGCAACCGGAAAGACAGGAAGGCTCTGTGCAACAAGAGGGGAGAGAAAGAAAGCAGGAGGAGAAAAGGGGTGGTTGTCAAGTTTTGTCTCTTCTGTAATTGTGTTCAGGGCTCCTTGGCAGTCTGTATGAATTCAAGTGTTGGCTTCAAGAAGCCAAGTTAAGGTCATCAGAATCTGTTTAGAAGGTTCAAACAGGCTACAAATCTTAACTTCCCCTTAACCAGCTGGGTCATTCTACTTCAAGAAACCAAATGAACGTCAGGTTAAAGTTCTTTAATGACCCTTTTACACCCCGCTTTTCCACACTTGGAGAAGGAAAGTCAGAAATGGAGGACGACATACAAACCCAAGGGATTTCCCTACTTCCAGGGTATTTTTAGCCAGTTCCCCAGTATCTACCGTATCCGGAATTCAGAGCCATTAGTGTAACCATGGAGATATCACTGGCCTCTGTCTTGTTTCCTTCCTTTTCTGTGCCGTTAAAATCTTTCACTCTGATTTCTGTAAGGCACCCCATTTCTGCTGGCGCCTTGGTCCTGCAGCTTCTTTCTCTGTTCAGGGACACTTATGCAGGGAGTAGAAACTCCGTTTTTAAGTGAGGAGAGCGTGTAAGCACCAGGAACGCGTGAGGTGTATACAAAAGGGGTATTAGCCCCATCCACAGTCTTCGGGTTCAGACTACAAGTCCCAGGAGACACCGCGGCCACAGCGCGGTCCAGAGATCCTTCCCTCGCTCTTCTGGATGGAGGAGATAAAGGTTCCGAGGCGCACTGCAGGCTGGTCTGTTTTTAACCGCGGTGACGGAGTTGGGAGCCCGGGGGATTGCGGGCGGGGACGTTAGGAGGCGGATTCCTCCTCTCTCAAGCACCCGGGGCTGGGGGTGGGGAGGAGAGAAGCCGTGCCAGCGGGTGGGGGACCGAGCGCCAGAGACAGAGAAGGCCGAGGAGATGGAGGGCGACGGGGTCCGGTGGGGGAGCGAGCCGCCATCGGGTCCTGGCCCGGGAGGCGGCGGAATGATCCGGGACCTGTGCCGGAGCTTTGGGCGCTACCGCCGCTACCTGGGACGGCTGCGGCAGAACCTCAGCGAAACGCAGAAGTTCTTTCGAGACATCAAGGGCTCCCACAGCCACAGCTGTCCATCCTCCCCCACAGGCGTCGGCGGGGCCCAGCGCGCCCCTGCCGGCGATGTCGCCGAGACCGGGCTGCAGGCGGGTAAGGAGGGCAGCCGCTAGGGAGAGAGGGCCGCAGAGGCGAGCCAGAGGGTGGACCGCACCCGTGCCCCGCACAACCCCCCTGGGAAGAGGTGGAAATGGGAGAAGGGCCGAGCCGGTGGGCCTGCATCGGCCCAGTCCAGATGCCTTGGCAGGGCATCGCTCTGGGTGGGGGGAGAGGCAAAGGGGCGGTGAGGGCTCGACTTAGGGGGCCCGGGGGCTCCCGAAGGCAAGGGTTCCCCAGCAGGATTCCGGCCAGGGGCTGTGCGCGGGCGGGCGCGCGGAGGCCGGCGTTTGGGGAGGGCGGGGGTCAACCCGGGGAGTGGGCAAAGTGGCTCTGGGTTGGGGGCTGGGTAGTGTGGCTCTGAGTCCCAGTTTAGGGATGGAGGGGTGGAGGAGGGGCCGGAGGCAGGGTGCCCAGGGGCTCAGGCCGGGGAACCGTGGTGGATTGCGCGCGTGTGTTGTGCGTGTTTGATTGTGTATGTGGAATGCTTTTGCACCATGACTCATGAGGTAACTCTGAAGAAGTAAGGAATGTGCTCGCAGTGGGTCTGGGGTCACTGGAGGAAATGATAGTTAATGGGCCGCAGGGGTTGTCAGAGCCGTTGCTTGTGCTTACAGTGTTGGAGAAGTTAGAGAGGGTAGGGAGCGGTTTTGGTCCTGAGACTTCTCGACAAGGTTCCGTCTGGGATGTGTTTAGAGGCCCTATGGCACTTGAAATCGTGCAAGGTCTTTGATCCTTCCTAGGTTCGTGATTCCTCGTAAACTGCGTGTTATTGATGGGGAACCGGAGGATTTGGTTTGTTAACTACTGTGTTAATTAGGAAATCAGCTAAGTTGAAGGGATCCCATATAGACATATACCTTGGGGATAACACAGCAAAGAAGTCAGTGGGTTTAAATTAGTGATTCTCAAACTTAAGTATGTATTAAAATCAAATTAAAATAAAAAATTTGTTAGGCTTTCTTCTACAGATTGAGTAGGTCTAGTGGGTGGGTCCTAAGAATCTAAACAAAAACATTTCTGGGGATTCTGATGCAAGTGGTCTGCAAACACATTTTCAGAAACACAAATTTAGAGTCTGACAACAGATTTGAACATGAAGCTCAGAATGGAGCGAATTGGTAAATTCATTGTGGTTTGTGTATTGGGCCCTTCATTTCCCAAGTTGCATGTTTAGTACCCTAGATTTGTCTGAGACTTCAGAAATGGCGATAAAAATAAGATCGTAAGATTCTGATATGGTCCTAAATGATACTATTACATTTAGTTAGCCTATATGTAAATAAAAACGCTTTTATTTTACTTCATGGGATAAGTGGGAAAAGGAGGATGACTAGTGTTGGGGAGAGGTAGAATCCGCCCCCTTCTTTAGTTCTTATGGCTGGACTCATAATAAAATAATTGACTGAATGGGGGAAAAACCAGCTTAATAGGTGCATGTGGGAGAATGATAATATGATGATCCGATCATAAAATGGGGCTCAAAGAAATGATCCAACCAGGCACCTTTTTGTACTTCTTAGACAAAGAAACAAATTTGTGACAAATTAACAGAACAAAGAAAGCACTTATTAGAAAGGAATCTAAGCAAGGTTTGGGTATTTGTCAGTGAGGAATCTAAGTGAAGTTTGGACTTGAGCAGTAAGTTAGTAAAGGCATTACAAGACTTGTTTATACAAGCTTTTGACTGGATTTTTTTAACTCTTGTGATAAGGTTGTCTTAGCCCTCTGGAGCTAGGAGGGCACCTGTCACATGGGAGGTTTAAAAGAGGGCAGAGAGGTCAGGGTTTTCTTCTTACACAGGCTGTTTCCTAAGTAACTTTATTTCAAAATACTTGCTATGCCATTGTGGGATCTCTTGGGTTGGCCTGCCTTGGGCCACGATACTATCTGTTCTGAAATTGCGATTTTGACGTCTTATGCCCAGAGATTTGCTGGTCTGAAAATGGAGCTATAGACGGGACGGATTCCTGTAAAGTTATCAGAGAACAGCTGGTGAGAAGAGCGAGTGTTTTTAGAGCTGACCCCCACAGGACGTGTGTACCTTCACCCCCTCTCCCTTAGCTCCCTTTCCAGGGGCTTTTCCCACTCCCAGGGTTTTCTTGCAGCTTACCTCAAACAAACAAACAAACAAACAAACAAAACCCTCTTGTTGTTATTTTATAACAACTATTTAGTTTTGAATTACCGCTGGGAAAAAAAATCAAGAGAGTAGATTCACCTCATTTTCAGAGTACCTTGGTTGGCTCTTGTTTTTATTCTTTAAAAGCCAACTTAAGAATACAAATGCGCCTTTGTATTTTGCCTCATTGGCTTTTCTAATTGACTTCATCATGAACTAATCTTAGTGTTTTTTAAAAAGATTTTATTTATTTATATTTTTTAAAGATTTTATTTATTTTTAGAGAGAGGGGGAGGGAAGGAGAAAGAGGAAGAGAAGTATCAATCACTTGCCTCTTGCACGCCCCCAACTGGGGACCTTTTGGTTCGCAGTCTGGCTGGCACTCAATCCACTGAGCCACACCAGCCAGGGCTCATTTATTTAATTTTAGAGAGAGAGAAAGGGAGGAAGAATGAAAGGGAGAGAGACATCCATGTGAGAGAGAAACATTGATCAATTGCCTCTTTTGCGTGCATGTCCAGGGACTGAACCCACAACCCAGCCATGTGCCCTGACCGGGAATCAAGTGGCAACCTTTCACTTTGCAGGACAATGCCCAGCCACACTGGTCAGGGCTAATCTTAGCATTTTTTTTAAACTCCCTTCACCTTCTGTCAGTCTTAGCATTTTTAACTCCCCACTTTCTTTCCACCCGAAATAAAAACCCAGAGAGGTGCAGGTGACAGGACTAGGAGCAGTTTGACTTTGTTCTGTGAAACGCTTCCATTCCTTTCAGTGTGGAGAGTATTGTCTTTGGAGGGGAAAATTAGTGAGGCGGCGCTTAATATGTATGTTTTTGGGATGCCATTTTTTTCAGCTGCTTAGGTAATTGTATTAGGAAGTAGAAACCACTGCTTAAAAGACAACTAGCTTTTGTTCTCTCCTTTTACAGGCTATCTTTGCAAGGTCATGTTCACTCAGAGACTGTCTCAGCTTGCTTTTGTGAATGTTGGTAGGAACTGGCAACCAGCTTGCTAATTTCTAATTAGTAGGAACTTGGAATGTTTAGAGAATGGGCACTCAATTTTTAACCTAACAGACCTCTAGAAGGTTGTAAGTGTCCTATCAGGATGGAGTGTGCTTCTCTGGGTTGGATACAGTATGGTATTTGAGCAACTGAAAATCATGGGATTTACTCTGTTTTTATTTCACTTTTAACCACAAATTAGATGGAAAGGACTCCCCCAAACTATGTTTTCTTCTTTTGACAATTTTGGATACACTGGGGGCAGCGTAGAGAGTACAGGGTGGGGCCAAAGTAGATTTACAGTTCGTATAGAAAGTAATATTCAATACAATAATTAATAAATAATAATACAAGACTAAACTCTTGTGTTTTACATAGTCACAACTGTAAGCCTACTTTTTCCCCATGTTGTATGAGATGCACATGATGTTTTAGAGATTAAAAAGTAGATGGAATAGATATCTACACACAAGTAGCTTGGCCTGTAACAAAGAAAACTGAATTATAAGTGGAATACCCTTGACTGAGCTCCTCTTCTGCCTTTTTTCCACTTAACTACAGGACATGAGAGCCCTTCTATCTGTCCATTTTCCTGTCAGAGGGCTCAGAAGTAATGAGATAAAGGCTTCATGGGCGCTTCCGGAGAAAGGCAGAATGGACTTTGACAAAGTAGCAAAGCAAAAAGTATCTGTCTTGCTTTTAGATCCACTGGCTTTCATAGCTTGTTGCAATGTATCCCAAACCTCTGAGTTTTAAGAAATCAGAATGACTCAAATGGGTCTAGTTGGAATGCTCTGGTCCTCCTGCATTCCCTCAATCCTAGTCCCCACTCCTTCCTGACTGAATGACCTTGGGCAGATTACAGCCTTGCTGGGCCACAGTTTCCTCATCAGGAAGTGGGGATTAAGATACTAGTACTTGTCTCTAGGACTGTTGGGAGCTATATGTGTTTAGAACAGTGTCTGGTACTGCTGTGTGAGTATTTGCTGTTATTCAGTGAACACTTGAGTGCCTGATATGGGGGATAAAGAGTCAAGTAACGACAATGGCCTTGGCCTTGGGTTAGTGGAAATCAGTTTTTCCCTTTTATACTTTTCTTCTAAGAAAGAAAAACATGTATATATAAATAATTATCAACACTATTGTGTAGATCATTTGTTTATGTTGGACGAGGGATGCAAAGGACCTGGAAGACCTCTAGAAAGGTCTAACCTAATCTCAACCACATACAATTCAACTCGTAAAGCAGAAAAAGAATTGCAGCAAGCTGAGGTATGGTTAGATGATAGGCATTTTATGTGTTAAAATTCTTAGGCTTTTAGAGCTCTTTGCCTTTGGTGAGCCAACAGCTTGATTCCCCCCACATTCTTCACCTTTTATTTTTTGGTCATACCTAGTATAAACTGGTTACCACAATTAAAAAGAAGAGGAAAAACACGAGTGTGCTTATTTAGAGTAGACATTTTTTCTTGGACTCTTTAGGCAGAAATTTGTATGGATAATAAGATTTTAAGTGGCAGAGTGACATCTGCGGAAGGGACAAAGTTGGGAGAGAAGAGATTCTTTTCAGCCTGGTTGCACAGAGCTGCCCCTTCATGGGGCTGAGGGTGGGGAGAAGTTGGGGCTGTGGTGTGGAACGGACAGAGACTGGCGTGGATGTGCTTTCTAGTCGTTTGCCGTGGTCTGTTTAGAAGAGCTGCCTCAGCATTTCAACATAAGCTCAGCAGAGATGGTGCTATAATTGTCGTTCTTATTAACTTGTATTACCTTAGGTGAATAAACCCCATTTCTCAAAGTATATCTGAAACTCTCATTTTCTCCCTCAGTTTTCTTCCTGCATGGAAGCAGCTTATAGTGGTCAAAAGCATT